TCTTCTAACGTCTGGATCCCATCCCATTGGCTTTTTCATTTAATCAGCTCTCCCATGAAGAACATTACTTCCTGAATTATGAGGGCTAAAATCCTGGTGGGATAATAGTGCTGGAATTATATCAACTCTATTATTGTCCCTTCTTCCATTACTACTATCTCATCCTGACATGAGCATCCTCTCTCTGCTGAATAGTAACAGATGTCCAGGTCCTCACAAGTCAGCTTTTCTATGTAGGGGAAACCAGTGTCCTGACGTCTGGGTGTACTTTATGCGTAACTTGTTTGTTTACACAGATTTCAGGACTATTGTCTCAGCTGTTCACACACAGCAAACAGAATATCCAGTTTTTTAGAGGAACATCAATACCCATTTCTCAAAGAGCAACTCTGCTCATGACCTGACTCTAGTCAAAGTCCAAGACAGGGAGCTAAATCTCCTGCCTCTTGCAGATCCCATCTGTAAGGACCAATGCTTCTATACAGGACTTTGAACAACAACTAACAACACGGGATGTTTTCCCAAAACGGAACGTTTGGTCACATGCTCAGAAAGAGAACTTGGAGAACTATCTGTAACAGTTCCATCAGGTGATGCCTGCCATAACAAACTCTATGTGTGCACATGTATGCACATGCACACATGTATCTGAGTATATGACGTCATTCCAAAATAATATAGTCTATATCTATACTACACGCAGTTATTTCGATATAATGTTGAAATAATGGTCAGCTGGAGGAGTTCTTACTCCAACTCCTGTGACACTTACTTTTGTACGAGGAGTAAGGGAAGATGGAGGAAGAGTGCTTTCTCCAACTTCCTGCTATGCTCTTCTTCCAGCAGAGAGAGGACTTCCTGCTATGCTAAGCTTCCTCGCAGCTTGACATTACATAACTGCTGGGTTTTAATCAACTAAAAGAGGAAGCCAAAAGCCAAAATAAGCTATTTCAACTTACGCTACGCAATTGACATAGCTCAAGTTGCGTAGCTTATTTTGGCTTTAGTAGACGTGCCCTAAGATAGCAAACTTTTATTTCAAGTTGACAAATATTGATGCACCTTTTACCTTAAGCATTTCTAAAAACACTTTTCACCATGGTATTTAAGTTTCATAGCAATTATACAGATCTTTACATTATCAAACCACTTCATAAACATTAGCTAAATGGCACTCACTCAGAGTAGAGCAAGTATAATTATCCTAATTTTACAGACACAAAATAAACAGAAATTATAGGCACTCAGATACTACAACGATGAAAGTATTTGTAAGTATGGAGAGAGATAAGAAATAAATAAAAGTGATTTGCTCAAAGTTATACAAAAAGTCAGTGAAGCAGCCACTGCCAGAAGACAAGTCTCTTGATTTCTAGCCTTATCTGGTTTTGTCCAAGATATAAAAGAGTTTATATAGCAGTATAGCATTTGGCAGCAGATCTTTACTTCTTTCCGGTGTTCCTCTATCCCAAAGACACATGTAGTTTACATATTATTTTAAAATGTGAGACATTAGACATTTTTACTTTCCTTATTGCAGTACGGGATTCAATTTGACTGGACAAGACTTAAGAAAACAGTGATGTTTTCCTTTGGAGATAAATAAGTGACTGAAGTGTCCCTGTTGGATAGAGAATCAAGAGGGACTCCACCTCGCAGCTTGACATTATATAACTGCTGGGTTTTAATCAACTAGAAGAAGTTATTTTTCTACAGTGTTCTTCCTCTCTCCCGTTTCCTTCTCCTTCCCATTCCCTGCCCCTTGTTAATGAAGGGGAAAAGACATGATTGCCTCTAGGATTATTATTTATTTTCTTCCCTGTAACTATTCCTCACCCAACCCTAAAACTTAGCCAGTCTTGCTGGGTCAACCTGCCAAAAGAAACAAAAGCTGTTTTGTTGCAATGCTGTTAAAAGGGCAGAATGACTGTACACAATGACAGCATTGATGCACATGAGATGCAATAATAAAGCTTTAGAAAGGCACTCGTTATGGAGAGCAGTCAGAAATCCTCCAGAAAGAGACAAAATAAAAACAACATTTGGCCTAACTTATTGCCAATATGGCTTTGAAGAAATTGTGCGATAGCATCATTAAAACAAACCCCACCTAATTAGTATGAATGTTTCTCTGCTGTGGAAACTGAACAACGTAAATGTGGGAGTGATGTAATTGATAGCTGATTATCATCCTGTTGTGTTTTGTATCAGTAGACTGGGAATGATAGTTTGTGTGCATCAGGATTGAATATTTTCATTACAAATCAGTAGTCTCTCTCACAGTAGGGTGGTCAGTGTCTAAGCCCCAGAAAGCTGGCAAAAAGAGGACTCGCTAGCTCCCATTCTCTCCTTGCTCAGGCAGCACAAAACATCAGGAAAGCCAGCTTAATCAGTCATCTCAAAATTCCTCTTGGAGAAGGTGAATCCCTGGGTAGCCTGGAGCCAACATAATGTGTCTAAGATCTAAGAGTGGAGGGCTTGGTCAGGGGAAAGAGGGAACGACCAAAGTTTAACTTCACCCTGGTTATTCCCAGAAGCTACAATAACTTAATTGGGCATGAACTACCAGGTATTCCATTAGATTAGTCTTGACACTAGAGGATATACCTTGTTCAGCCTGGGGAATATAGAGATGGTCCTCTCCCCAGCATATCACCCTCAGCTGTACCAAGGGCTGCTCTGCTGCATTCAAAGATCTGGCCTACGAGCTTTAGATTACTATTCTAAAACTTTTATTCCAGTGATTGCCAGACATCCTCATAATGCAAGATGCTACAGATAAACTGCCTGCTTTCCTTAATGAATGTCCTAAATGGATAAGGAAGGAGATTTAAGGAGATTTAAGAAACAAGGTATTTAAGGTTACATTCAAAGAAACAATTTACGATCTATAACAGGCCTGCACAACTCGGAAAGCGGCGAGGACCATATTACTCCAAAGAAAACAGCTGTGGGCCGCAAGTAGGGATGCCCTCTCAAAAAATACCAAACACGCGGACTAAAAATTTCTGTCAGGAACCCCCCACCAAAAAAAACCCTTACACCAAAAAAAACCCTTACACCACTTGGCCCCTGGCATTTGTCTCTCCTGCACCTTGCCCCTTGGTGCCTTCCCCTTTCTCCTGACCTGCTTCCCTCAGCCCAAGCCCCTTCCCTACCTGGCTTCTTCCTTCCAATTTGCGGGACTGCTGGAGCCCTTTTAAATCCAGCGGTCGCCGGCTGTGATGTCACAACGCCACATCCTGGCATCTGCTGGCGTCCTACCTCCTCGCACTGGAGCTGCATGCAGGCAGCCCGGCAGCGAGAATCGCCGCACCTCCCCCTCCCCGGCGGCACTCCGCCCGGCAGGCGGATCGGATGGGGTCTCGCCTCCCATAGTCGGCATGGGGCGCACAGTGAAGCCCTGCGGGCCGCATGCAGACCTTGGGCATATGTTGTGCAGGCCTGATCTATAACTTCTTCCCTCCTCTGATAAAAATAATAACCACAGAGATGGAAAAGACCTGTGAGATTAAGCCTTATGATTACTGTATTCAATCAGGTGCTCTATAGTGTGTTTTGCTAAATGAGTGACGTAATGGGGTCTTCTACCATTTTTCTTGGGAAGCTTTTATTCCATTGTCTAATATGTTTTTTATTGACAGGATACTTTTTTGTTCACAGACTCATGATTGTTGAAAGGATGACATTCTCTACAGAGAACTAAAAAAAGTCCTTTAAAAGTGTTTGTAAATCAGAGGATACCATAGAATGTCATAAAAGACAGGGAATTGCTCAACATTGTTTATTTACAGGTACTATAGCAGTTTTGAATGACTCATTTCCTACTTTGTTTTATGTCTTCTCTGTCTTTGTTGCAGTCATATCATACTTTTAAAGAATGGGTTTATATGAATATGAACCAACATGTGCCATTCACATTTGCTGACTGCTTTCATGGAAGCCAAATAAAATATATATGAAAAAAACCTTTTGATTTTGATTCATGTGAAAATTCTGCAAATACACTAAGGATGTGTCTATACTTACAAGAAGATCGATGCTCCGGAGGTAAATCTTCTAGAGTTCAATATAGCAGGTCTAGTATAGACCTGTAAATCAAATGCTGAGGGCAGCCCCCACCAGAGTCCAGTAATCCTCCTTCCATGAGAAGGGAAGCTGATGGGAGCAAACACTCCCATCAGCCTCTCGCTGTGTGGATGCTGCCAGGGCTCGGCTTAAAATAAGCCGACTCCAGCTTCGCATTTTGCATAGCTGGAATTGTGTACCTTAAACCGAACTGCCTGGTGTAGTATAGTATAGAAAAATTTTAACACTCCTGTATCTAGCCATCAGTGAAGATATTATGGATTTCCTAACTATCTGAGAAAGCTATGAGTCTTTCCCAGCTACTTTGATCCTGTAACCATTACACGTGTAACTTTACGAATCAGTTGAATTCAATTCTGTATCAACTTACGTGTTCGGTATCAACTTATGTGAATGTTTACAGGATCACACTGTAAAACTCTAAGCACCTTACAATACTTATTACACATATAGGACAGATAGGTTCAATAGCCAATCAAACGATTGCCCCCCAAAAAGCCCCTCACAACTCATCACAAAACAAATCCTTCCCCACATGTCTCAGTTATACCCATTAGCACCACAATAGGAAAAACACAAGAAAATGTAGGAAGATCTTGCAGGTCTGCATATGTAAGCACTGTTGGACCAAAGAGTAAGCAAATTCCAGAGTCTAGAATTCACATACTAAAACTATCACCACTTTGTTCCTTTTAAATCAGGGTGCTGTAAGCCCAAGATGTCAATGCTCACAAACATATGTTTGAATTTTAGATTTCAGCTTCTGAAAAAGAAGATGTAATGATTTTCCTGTATTACAATCCTGCTGCTACATTCTTCTCATCTCATTTACAGCACCTACTAGAGAAGAAAAATTTGACATTGCAAAACATCAGGCTGACATTGAAAATACTATATTCTTTTTTGCATACCTGTGTTTGACTATTAGGTATGAACTTGTAGGTATTCTGGAGATGTCCATTTCCTTTGTTTTTATCTGATGCAACAGGAAAGAAATAAACAGACAGAACTATTATTATTCTTCAAGGCAAATCAAAATAATAAGATTTCTTCAAGATTATTTTTCAATGGCTATGAAGGGAGCAAAAATTGTTCCTTCTGCCAATCTGCCATAGCTTATTTCACTCTTTCAGCAACTGTGTTTTAAAATTTATCTTGAACACTTCTTCCTATATTGTAAATGGGGAAAACAAAGTGTTGTAATTAGGCATGATTGTGGTAGGATGGATGCTAGAAGGGAGGAAGGAGGGAAAAGGGCAAGGTGAGCTGTTAGAATCTGCTATCTCTAAGTATTTTAAGTGTTATTTATTGGTTTCTGGCTGACACTATTCTGCTATTGTAAATGTAGAGGAGAAGTAATCCCTTTTCCTTAGGCTCTCAGAGCCAGATTTTCAATGGTATTTGGGAACCTACAGGGATTTTCAAAACCATCAAGATGCTTAAACCCTATTGAAAACAAAGTGTGTCAGGCACCTAGATGCTTTCATTATCCCAGTAGGCACTTAAATTCCATTAAAAATGTGGCCCTTAAGTTCCAAGTCCCTATTCCCCTAAACAGTATCTACTGCCCACATCTTCAATCCTATATATAATCCCTTTGACGCTAATGGGCCTACACTGAGAATAGTTACATGGGATAATGTATGTATTCAGTATTGAACCCCAAAGCGACAAAACACAGAAAACAATTTCAAATATGCATAGCAATATAAATTAGGCCTGCTCCCCAGAGATGCTGAGCATGAACAGTGAAAGTTGAACAGTATAACACCACTGGGAAAAAAAGTGAACATCATTCTGGGGTGTATTAGCAGGAGTGTTGTAAGCAAGACATGAACATTAATCCTTCCGCTCTAATCTACACACATTAGGCCTCAACTATGTCTACTTCTCAGTGCCACATTTCAGGAAAGATGTGCACAAATTGAATAAAGCACAGAAAAAAAAAGCAACAAAAAATTTTAAAAGTCTAGAAAAACATGACCTATGAGCAATATTCCCTATATTTTTCCATGTATATGTGGAATAAATTTTATTATGTGCACTGAGGCATGTGTTGATGTGCACCATCAGAAGCAACAAATTATGCTGGCTGAAGGCACTCTGCTAATCAGCTGGGTGGTATTTGAACCTCTCCAGGATAGACACCCAAGTGACACAAGCACACATTGTCTATTAGGGAGGACTGAAAAAAAACTAGGCTTGTTTAGTCTGGTGAAGAGAAAACTGAGAAAAGACATGATAACTGTTTTCAAGCACAAAAAAGATTATTACAAGGACAAGGGAGAAAACTGTTTCCCTATAAGCTCTGAGGCTAGGACAAGAAACAATGGGTTTACATTGCAGCAAGGTTAGTGGTGGGTCAAGTTGAACATTAGAAAAAAAATTCCTGTCAAGGTGGCTAAGCACTGGAATAAATGTCCTAGGGAAGTTGTAAAATCTCACTCATTGGAGTCTTCTGAGAGCAAGTTAGACTAATACCTGTCAGGGACAGTTTAGGTCAGTGGTTTTCAAACTTTTTGTATTGGTGACCCTTTTTACACAGCAAGCCTTTGAATATGACCCACCCGTATAAATTTTAAAAAATAGGGTTGGGTATATAATTTAATGAGAGTTCGGGGTTATCAGCCCCCTGGAGCTGACAGTTCAAGACCTCCATGTAACCACCTTGTGACCCACTGAAGGGATTAAGAACTCCTCATTTCTCCACTAAAAGCAGAAAGTATTTACAGCAAAATAGATTCTTAGTTTGACGTTTACTGGAGTGTTTTCATTTATTTTATTTTTACACGCACAATTAGAAGCCAAAGGACAATCGATATACAGAAGAAGTTACTCATCTTATGCAATAAACCAGAGTTCTTCAAGATGTGGGTCTATATGGGTGTTCTACTTAAGGTGCACGCACACCCCATATGTCCTTGAGCAAAGATTTTTCAGTGGTAGTGCCCATTCGGCCCACACCTACACTCTATGCATCCTCATGCCCCATATTGTGGATATTTAGAGCTATCGGGGCAAGCTGCTCTAGGTTTCTTCTCTACCACAAAGTCCGGCAAAGGAAACTCAGAAGCAGAGGCACTTGCTCTGCCCCTCCCTCAAGGCTCGCTCCTCTCCACCCCCAAACACCTCAGTGCCTCTCACCTGCTATTCATTCCCTTCTGCCCTCTCCTGCCTTTGGGCAGTGAGGGATGAGTGGTAGGGGTCTCCAGTTCAACAGCTGATGAAGGGTAGTCCTACTCAATAGCTGATCATGATGCAAGGCCAGCGGCTGAACAGTTGATTGGTGACCAATCCCAGGGCTGCCAGAGGAGCAGCCCTGGTCAGCGCCAGGGTTGCTCTGTGGGTACATGAGCTCCTCTGGGTGCATGAGTCAGAAACTATGCTCAGAAGCAGAGAAGAAGAGGAGCTATGCAAATTTCAGAGATTGGGACATCCTTGAGTAATGTCATAGAAGTAGACTGACATCTCGCAGAATGGTCTAGCAGTCTAGAAGGAGGCTGAATGCTGACAGACTCGTAACACTAGATAATACACACATCAACAGATCCACTCCAAGAATCTTAGTGGAGAGATTGTAGATCATTTGGATTTTTCCACAACTCAACAGATTCTGGAGAGACTAGCTGAGTGGTTTGGTTGTGTCCAGATAGAAGAGTAATGCTCTCTGGACATTGAAAACATCTAAGACAGCTTGAATATCTTGTGTGATGTGGCTGTGGGGAAAAAATAGCTTAATCTGAAAGTCAGAAGACGTTAAAAATAAAAATTTAGGATACGGTCATAGTGAAACTTTTTCCATAATAAAAGCATGGAAGTGATCTGCCATTAATCTCCCTAGTTCCCTAACCTTTGGGAAGAAGTGATGGCCATCAAGAAAATCATTTTCGTGGATAAGTGAAACAACAAACATGTATCTTAAGGGCTAAAAGGGCGTTTTATAATGCAATTAAGGATAAAAGTCAAGAGCCTTATTGGAGAAGGTTTCCTAATCTGTGGGAAAAGATTTCTCTCTGTCTTTTGAGAAACCTTGATATTTTGGGTGAGAAAAAATTTAAACACCATCCACAGATGAATAAAAGGCTGCTATGGCAGACAAAGGAATCTTGGAAGAATTAGTAACAAGACTTGATTGTTTAAATTCCTTCAGGTAGTAGTATAGAATGGTAGAAAATGGAGAGAGAACAGGAGAAACTTGTCGACAGGTGCAACAATGGTGAAATCTCTTCCATTGGAAGGTGAGTGCTTGGTATAAATGCTTTTCTGCTATAGAACAATACCTATTGAACAGGAAATCTCTATTATTAAGAACCTCCTAAGAAACACTTGGAATTATAGAAATTTCAGTTTGAGTTGGTGTCTGACTGGCCTCAGGGGCAACAAGGCAGCAATTGATCAGCAGTGTCAGTGGTGGACAGGAAGTGAGTTGAATTACATACACCAAATCTGTCTCAACCAAGCCAGTGCAAACAGAATGGTCTTGCCTTTGTCCTCCTTGATCTTATTCGGTACTTTCAAGAGCAATGGTCTTGGTGGGTATGCATAAAGATGGACCTTGACCCACGAAATAAGGAATTGAGTCTAGAATTCCCCTTTTAAGCAATATTTTTCATCTTTTGGTTGATAGCAGTGGCAGAGAGATCCATTTCTGGAACCCTCCCAGGTTAGAAATATGCAGTTGAAGACATGTGAGGTCAACTCCCCTTTGTAATTCTGGGAGAAGTGCCTACTGATGTCATTGGTTGTGGTATTCTGTTTACCCAGGAGGTAAGATGATGAGATGACTCTTTGGCTGGCTCTGCTCCAATTTCAGAATTGTATTGCTTCATCACAAAATGAAGAAGAGTGTGCCCTTCCCTGACAATTAATGTAGAAGACCCAGGCCATGTTATCAAGGTCACGATCTTGACAAATTTAGCTTTGATCAGTAGAAGGAACCGAGTACCATCATTTCTGACTGCTCTCAATACTAGAAGGTTGATGTGAAGTAGTTGCTCTTGAGGAGAAATTTGCCTGGAAAGGTGTGTGATCCTAGATGTGCTCCCCAAACCAAAAGGGATGGATGTGATGTTACAACAATAGTGGGAGTATGTTGAATGAACGAGACTCCCTCACAGATTTTGGAGGAGTCCGTCCACCCACAATCCAGAACCAGCAAGAAACAGAAAATTGCTTGTCTAGACTATATATTCAGTATAGAAACTGTCCTGTGCCATCCCCGGAAGCACTAGAGATATAACCTTGTATATTGGGTGTGACGGTGCAGGGCCGCCATGCACTCCAACCTGGAAAGGGGAGACAGCAGCGTGGCCAGGAATGCGGAGCACAAGCCGCGGCACCGCAAACATGGCGCAGGCGCCGGAGGCCGAGCTGGCACCTTGGAGTGACGTCAGGGGCTAGCAACGGGGCGAGGGCATCATCATGCCCCCCCGGAAGCAGAGGAGGGTCCGGGGGAGAGGGGAGGCCACAGGACCTACGCCGGCAGACACTCCAGCAAGCCCCGCAGAGGGAGGGAGGGACGCTGGCGCAATGGGTGGGGCTGAGGATAAAGGAGGAAGAGGGGAAGGAGAAGGGGGGAGAAAGAAACCTGTCAGGCAGAGTGAGGTGCCAGCAGGAGGCCGGTCGGGAGAAAGTGACCCTGGGTAGGGCTGAGTGGACACCCGAGATTTGGTGCGTTTAGGGGAAACACCCCACCAACTGAGACGGGGAGGATTCTCCGTCCTTAGGGCCCTGGGGAGGGATCTGGAGAGAGGGTGGGCCCAGGTTCCCCTTCTGCAGCTGGGGAGCTGAGCCGGCTGTGTGTCACGCTGTAGTGCAAGCAGATCAGGGGGAGGTCCCCCAGGTTACACCAGGTGGGCGCGAATATACTTGTAATTACTAAAAACTGTGCGGAGGGTCATGTGGGTTATTATGTGAGCGATTACATAGGGCTATAAAAGTACAAGCTGACACACATCCTAATCGCTGGAGACAATT